GCCAGGAGTTCAAAACCAACCTATGCAACACAGTGAGATCCCCGTCTCCACACACACAAAAATAATATTAATGCACACACACACACACACACACACACATTTAAATCACTTCCAGCTTTTTAATATTATATAATAAATTATAGTTAACCATTAAAATCTAAAAAGTTTAAGTTAAAATTGTACTGATTCCCAATTTAAAAATTCCACATAGGCCAGGCATGGTGGCTCATGCCTGTAATCCCAGCACTTTAGGAGGCCGAGGCAGGTGCATCACAAGGTCAGGGGATCGAGACCATCCTGGCCAACATAGTAAAACTCAGTCTCTACTAAAATATAAAAAAACTAGCCAGGCGTGGTGGTACGCATCTACAGAAGACTGAGGCAGGGGAATCGCTTGAACCCGGGAGGCAGAGGTTGCAGTGAGCCAAGATAGCACCGTTGCACTCCAGCCTGGCGACACAGTGACAGTCTGCCTCAAAAAAAAAAAAATTCCACAAATAAGTAGTGCATTCTAGTAATTATTATTTGTTTTCACAAAACAGAATGGTCTGATTTTTCAACATGCTTGGACTCTAGTCTTCACTCTATCCCTAGCTGTCTAACCTCACGTGAGCTGAGATTGCGCCACTGCACTCCAGCCAGGTGACAAAGCGAGAGTCTGTCTCAAGAAAAAAAAAAAAATTCCACATAAGTAGTGTATTCTAGTAATTATTATTTGTTTTCACAAAAACAGAATGGTCTGATTTTCCAATATGCTAGGACTCTAGTCTTCACTCTACCCCTAGCTGTCTAACCTCAGATGAGTTACACCTCTCAAGACCTCAGTCTCTTAACCTATAAAAAGAGCACTCTAAAATGTCATTCTGAGGCACTTACTTCTCTTCCGTATTTGTCTAGCACTGTGCCAGAAACTTGATAACTGTCCACAGCGAAGGAGGCTAGAGAGGAACATGTCCAAAACCTCTAAAATTTCACACAGGACGGTTTTAAATGTACTGTGAAGTTTAGGCTTTAAAACACAAAATCAACTACCACAACAGTGTCTCATCATTTTTATAGTGATATAAGCAAACAAATTTCCAGAACACAAAGCGTTACTCACGTTATCAATCCTCTTTAAAGAAAACAGTGATTTTAGTTATAAAAATGAAATTCTGCTAAGTTTCAAGAGAGTTTAAAGCAGGCACCAGCCCAGCACTTGTTTTCACAGCTCTACTACTACAAATTTTATCAACACCCACTATTGTCTCTGAATGGCATGTAAAAGCGCTCTGTGCCATGCTCTTGATGAATTGTACAGACACAAGTCCTACTCCACCTACACAACCACTATGCCACAAATGCAATGCCTTTAAAAGAGGGCTCTCTTTTGCAATAAAACATTACAAATCCTAGCTACAAGTAAAGCAAATGTTGCAAGAGATAATTTCAGTAGCTAAATCAGCATTAAAATTCCTCACTTCGTCTCACTACTATTCATTAAGCATGTTATTAAACAAACATAACTATAAAAGGAAAAGCTAAGGGTTATTTTACATTGTAAAAACGGATAAGGCCCTGCAAGGATGCTTCCATTGATCTTTAGTATGATTCAGTTCTATTCAACTGTGAGTTTACTAAATCTCAGAAATTTCTACAAGGACATTCATATCAGACTGACATTGAGCTGGCAAGATTAGATTTCAAACGTCACACTAAAGATGCTCCAATTTTAGATAAGAAAAGAGGGCATTGACTATTCTTATCCATTTTTTTTTTCCTGTTTATGTCATACATTTACAAATACTCAATTTAAATGATCTCAGCAAAAACTCAAGCAAATTTGTTTCTGGCCCATAGGAAGACATTGAAATCTATGAAACTAAGAATTTGGAGGAAAAAAAAAGATGGTGAGGCTGGAGATCACTGAAGTCAAGTATATCCTTGAGGCCAGGGAACGGCATCCACCATGGCACTAGTGAGAACGGTCATTGCTGTGTTACTGTCACAGCTCTGTGACTCACAGAGTGCCCCCGACTGCCGCGTCTACTTCTGAGCCAGTTCTCAGCACCAACTTGGAGGTCATAAGCAGTCTTCTTCAGCAAGAGGAAAGGAGGCATGACCAAGAAGGCCCCATCCTGCCCACAGGATTCTCTCTTAAGATATTTCTCCGAGAAGTTGAAATGGTTTCTGCGTTCCAGGGTTCTTATCTTGGGTTTCTGAAACCCTGGTAGCCCACTGGTTGGAATGCAGGAAGTCTTGACCTTCCAGAAATCTTACACAAAATTGCCGGAGGGAGGAGGCACAGTTTACATACAGATGTGCATTCTTTTTTACAGGGAAGTGAACTGGGTGGGATCAGGGGGTACATGCTTCCATCACTTAATATCCTTAACTCCCCTAAAACATCAAGGGAGTCACTGCTGTACAGAACAGCTGCTATGATCTTAAGAGTTCTTCTTTCCCCCAGAGGCATGAATGTAAACAGAATGGCCAACATACCGGAGTAAAGGAGGAGGAGCTCCTTCTCTGTGTATCAGGGAACTATGGGAACCATTCATTCAAATGCCTTTCATTAGAAAAAACCGTAAACGTCACCCAATCTTTTCTTTTTCTTTACCTGAATTTCTTTAGTTCTCCTGTTTGAGTCACTTTTTCAATCTTTTAAGAGTTGCAGTTAAATTTCAGAGACTGCTCAAACAGTACGGCCCTCAAGTTGTAAATATTAATACAATTCTACTTAAAAAGAGTATGACCTTTAACTTCTCCAGATTTGTTAATAAAAGGTGGTAATATAGATGAAAACCAGAGAGAAGACGACATGGTAGAAGAGTAACTGTGAACATACATGGGTTCTCTGAGGAATGCATACAGAAATACAATAGATAAACTTGATAGAATTAATTGTTACACCGGTTATTCAACATGACCTCAATTTTATCCCATAATAAGAACCACTGGCAATTCTATCACGTTTGTGCTCTGCCAATTAGAATTACATAAACATTTAAAAATATCACTGCAATTCAAGACTTTAAAATGTGAAATAATTTAAAAAGCAACTAATTCAAAGGTAAGGGCTTCAATCCCTTAGAACCTGAACTCTGTACGAAACTGATCATGGTCCAGGAGAGCCACAAGATCTCATTTACCACCTGCCTCAATCTCACTGAGCACCTGGCACATTCTCACAGGGCACACAGCCGATGCTCGATACTTACTCCACACTGAGACTCACTAAACACTCAACAGTCCCCTTTCGTTTCAAGATGATCAATAAACTGAATTCTTAGTAGTTTGTTATTCTTCTATCAATGCCTTCAAGAAAGTCCAGATCAATGCAAAATGCCAGGCCTCTGAGTTGAAATCGAAACCTCACTTCGCTTGGTGAATTACAGCCAATGTGATTTCACTTTCTTGCCACAGGCTGCCGTGGAACAAAGGTAAATTTCTCATGTGGCCAAAACACACCTGAGTGTTTCTGAGGCCTAAGGATGGAGGGTCAAAGCTCACCCCAGTCTCCTTCTAGGTCTCCCCAGAACCCGAGAGCAAAGATGTCTCCCAAACAATTGCTTAAATCACAACTGAATGAAAGAAACCACTTAAAACTTGCTGGTGAATTCAAATATAAATATAAAATTGGATTGTTTCATATGATCATTAAAGCAACTAGAAAGTCCATCCAGAGTAGCCTAAAGTTTTGAGCTCAGGCTTTTCCCACAGGAATTCATACCCACATTGATATAAATTATCACAAAGAGTTTCCATTTGAATTTTTATCAGGACAAGTACCTTGGAAAGTTGCAAATATTCTGTGAACTATGAACGTCATGTATGAATAATAAGTACCCTTTGCTAGAACAGACAAGGAACATCGTGGGAGTGAATATAAAGTAAATTTCAGGAAGGAAAAAAGGCACGATCCAAAGAAACAGCCACCCTTCTGAAGGGGAAAATTTCTTTCAATAAAGGTGTTTTTTGTCGGGTGCGGTGGCTCACGCCTGTAATCCTAGCAATTTGGGAGGCCGAGGCGGGCAGATCACGAAGTCAGGAGATCAGAATCATCCTGGCTAACACGGTGAAACCCCGTCTCTACTAAAAACACAAAAAATTAGCCAGGTTGCGGGCGCCTGTAGTCCCAACTACTCGGGAGGCTGAGGCAGGAGAATGGCGTGAACCCGGGAGGCGGAGCTTGCAGTGAGCCGAAACTGCGCCACTGCACTCCAGCCTGGGCGACAGAGGGAGACTCTGTCTCAAAAAATAAATAAATAAAAATAAAAATAAAGATGTTTTCTACTTGAAGAAAAACCACAAAGAAGAAATTTGTGAAATTTTTATTTACTAATTGATTTATGGAAAGTTCATTTAAAATTTTATTAACTTATACAACATTTTAAAATAATAATATAATGAACATGCACTCACCACCCAACCCAAGACCTAAAATGAATACTATTTACTGCCCATGTAAGAACCAATCATGATATTCTAGCAGTGCGTGGTGAAGAACTATGATTAAAGAATTTGGAGCACCTGAGGTCCACTGAACAAAAACCTTGTGAAGTGATTCCCCTAGAAGAAATGGACTCATTCCAGGATTCCTTTAAATAATCTGCCTGAGTAGACTAAAAAATGTGAATCAATTACTTGTCCAAACCCCCCTCCACCCAACCTCTCAGGAATGAGTATCAAAAATTTTCTAAAGGGTACATTCACAAGAACCAGGAACCTGGAAAGAGAACCAGTGATACTCAACTCCGTACTTCGATGGAAATCTTCCTTGTACAATGGAAGAGCAATATCTTATAGGAATTGAAGTCTCCAGTAAACATTCTTTTAAAGTATTTTTTTCTTCTACTAGGCCAATGGTAGGACACAAAACTCAATGTGTTTCTTCTAACAGAAGAACTCTTCCCTCTCTAATACGGAATAGGCACAAATCTTTCCACTGTCAACATTTTTTTTTTAATCAGTCCTTTTTCCATTCCAACGTGCAAGCCAAGATTGAAATCAACACTAACCTGTAAAGGCTCACTGCTTTCCTGCTGGTCTTCAGAGTCTCCTGCTGGGAGAAGCAATGATGGGAGTGGTAACTAAAAGGCTCATGTGATTTCTCCATTCCTTTTTTTTAAGCCTCCACCTCCCAGACTCAAGCGATCCTCCCACCTTAGCCACAGATATACTCCCAACATATATATATACACACACTTGTAGGAAGACTTAGGGAGACTTGATGAAGCCAAAATGGGTTAAAGAAAGAAGAGAATTTTCCCCACAACTGTGGGAAAAACTAGTAAGAATCAACAAGGAACATAAAAATTCTTTGTTGTGTATTGTTCACCAAATATTCCAAAAATGAATACAACACAGTCGGGGCTTTTTTTTTTTTTTTAAGCTCCTGTTACAAAGGTCATGGAATGTTCTCGCATCACTCGCCTTCCCGATACTGAATCCCAGATTAGGCTCAGTTCTGCAGAGGGGGGTTAGTACACAGCAGTGCCAGAATGGGTGTGCGGGTGTTACTTTCATTTTTTATCTCATTTTACAAATTTTATATTTTATTTTTTGCAGGAGGATGGGGATACGGCGAAAAATTAAATTCATGACATTTGCAGCACTAGAACGCTCTAGTTTCATGATTCAGTCTTGGATGTATAAAGTCCTGTATCAAGAAATTCCAAGATTTTCCACAACACATCACATCCATACACACCCAGAATAACAGGGAGCCACAACTCTGAAGAGAGAGGTTCAAACTAAAAGTCTAAATAAGAACAGCAGAGATGTGACCCACATATTCGAATTCAGCCTTTAAAATAGCCTCATTAACTCAAATCTTTTCTTAAGTCAATACTAATTATACTCACCAGTGAGGTCAACATAATGGCAGCAGAGGCCTTTCTCAGAAATATTTAAAGTTTAAGAGTCCACAGGAGGCCGAGTGCAGTGGCTCATGCCTGTAATCCCAGAACTTTGGAAAGCCGAGGCGGCCGGATCACTTGAGGCCAGGAGATCGAAACCAACCTGGGCAATATGGCGAAACCCCATCTATACTAAAATCATAAAAATTAGCCGAGCATGGTGGCACACGCCCGTAATCCCAGCTACTAAGGAGGCTGAGGCATGAGAATCGCTTCAACCCACGAGGTGGAGGTTGCCATGAGCAAAGATTCTACCACTGCACTCCAGCCTGGGCGAGAGAACGACAGAACGAGACTGTCTCAAAAAAGAAAAAAAAAAAAAGAGTCCATAAGAATGTGAAAAGTAACAGTATACTGCTTGTTTCCATAGATTGATATGTAACAGTTTCCATTACTAAGATGGACAAGAGAAATTAATAGGTGACTCATGCTGTGATTACCTTAACTAGCTGGAGCCTGACAGAAATGAACCCCTAATTGGCTGTGTGTGTGTGTGTGTGTGTGTGTGTGTGTGTGTTTGAGACAAACTCTGTCGCCCAGGCTGGAGTGCAGTAGCACAATCTCGGCTCACTGCAACCTCCACCTCCCGGGTTCAAGCGATTCTCCTGCCTCAGCCTCCCGAGTAGCTGGGATTATAGGCGCCTGCCACCGCACCTGACTAATTTTTGTATTTATTTTTTACTTTACTTTAAGTTATTGGATACATGTGCAGAACACACAGGTTTGTTACATAGGTATGCATGTGCCATGCTGGTTTGCTGCACCTATTAACCCAATTTTTGTATTTTTAGTAGAGACGAGGTATCACCATGTTGGCGAGGTTGGTCTTGAACTCCTGGCCTCAAGTGATCTGCCCGAATTGGCTGGGTTTTGTCAATGTCATCCACAACATTTCCACAGCCACAAGCACCCCTTCTAAAACAAGAGCTAGAAAGTCAAGTAAAAGGGAAATATAAGAGGAGTGCAGACAAATTTGTTACTACTAGTGAAATAAAAATGTCCAGCACATGTGCTTTTAATGATGCAATAGTAGCATCACCTTCATGTATTAGAGAGAGCATGTAAATTACTTGCTTTGTGGCACAGACAGTTCTGAAATTGCCTGCTTAGAAGTGGTGGTATTTTTCAATACAGTACAGCAAAATAAAAAACTACTCTTAAAATCCACCAATGGAGTTCCCCAAATGTAAACATAATTAAAGAATCCCTCTAAAACCGGAGTTACACATTGCTTTTTTGATTTTCCAGTGTACAGAGTAGAAACTCAGTTTTCAATGAAGGAATAAATACATTTGAAAACATATAAAACATCTTTTCTCAAACTGTTGAAATCAGTGGCATTCAGTCAACAATAAAGACATACTAAACATGTGTTATGTGACAGATACTGTATTAGGTACTAAAATGAAAAGTTATTAAAACAGAAGACAATGACAAGAACAATTGTTTTCTGTTGTCATTCAAGGCTGTATCTATATAGTTTTGAATATTCAGATTAAAGGTTTAGAAATGAGTTAACAGCTTCCATTTTCAAGCCCATTTAGACAAGTGCTATCACTTAAGAGAAATCTTAGTTAACTAAGTTTTTCAGGATTCAGTTGGATGACAAAGCATTCAAATGATGTACCCAATACTAAACATGTGACTATTTAGAAATATATTCCACTGAAAGTTTTTTGATTTTGTTCTAAATGTTTGGCATCTAGTAGGTAGTCTGTAAGAGTCTTTAAAATCAATGTATTCATATCTACATGTTTGGGAAAATAAAGCAAAAAGCAACATGAAGGTGCTTTCAACATTCTGTTCTGAAAGTTGTTCACCAAAGGGCATCAAAGTAAAACCAGCAGATGGCTCTGAACACACAGAGAGAGAAGCGAGGAGAGAGAATGGAGGGAAGAGGGAGAGAGAAGTGAGGGAGAGAGGGAGGGAGAGAAAGAGAGAGACAGGAAGAGAGAAGGGAGGGAGAGAGGTAGGGAGAAGGAGGGAAGGAGGGAAAGAGGGAAAGAGGGGGAATGAGGGAGAGAGAGGGAGAGAGAGAGGGAAAAATAAAACAAGAGAAGACAGAGGCTAGGCTAAATAGACAAGCTGCCAGAGGACTTCTGGGAAAAAACATTTGAAAAGGAAGGACTGAAAAGAGAAGAAATAGGCACAACGAGGACTCCGGGTCTGGCCATAACAGCCAGGAGAAACGAGGGCTTAAGCCAGGAGGTCTGAAAAGAGAACAGAAGGTAGAACGCCTAGAATGGGGACGAGGTACTTCTACTTTGCAAAGGTGTGTGTGTTTGCAGTGCAAAGCAAGAAACGAGAACTTTAAAATTCTTCCGGCACATGTGTTCAAATGGCAAAGATATATGGGAATACAAGATGAAAAATTCCAGTGTAAAATCAGGCTTTTTAAATTGCCACAGCTCCCCTGTCTCCCCGGCTAGCTTCTATTCGCCTTCACAGTCTCCTAAGCCCAGTGACAGGAGAGCTCTGGAATGATTAGAGATTCTGGAATGAAAAGAGCTATGCCCACTGCTTATGAGGCCAAGGATTCTGCAAACTGGATCCCTGCAGATACCACAGCGCTTTACTCTGGTCTCCAAGGCCATGGCACACCCTAAAAGATTAAAATGCCTTAAGGTAAATGACCATTCCCAGATGAAGGCACAGCATGGAAACAAAGTGTGGGCCAAGGGAGGAAACTTCAAAAATCACAATAAAGTGCGATTCAATCCAGAGCGGGCAACTAGCAACTTTGTAGTAAAAGGAGGGAGGAAAAGTCGTGTGTTCTGCAGAGAGATCATTTCATGTGACGCTTCAGTGCAATTAAAAAAAAAAGGATTTATTAATTACAAAGCAATCCTAACAAGGTACATAACTAATATATAATATTCACATCCTATACATCTACTAGAGAAAGATTACAAACACAAAATGTTTCACCTTCCGGAGGAGATAATTATTAAGTTTTAAAGACTGGTTCAGGCAAGAATGAAAAAGTATCAAGTCAAGGCCACATACATTCTAATTTTATAACCCAGGCGGCCCTGGACAGGATTCAGAGAGCTCTTATTTGAATAAGATCTGACGATATCCCCTCATTAAAAGGATTAGCGCTTCCGCACAAACGTCCAGATAAATCTTATTACTGGTCCAAAATTAGTCACCTAAAGGCTTCAGACAGTTTTGCATAAATATTTACAACTCTGAAGAGGCTGAGTACTTTTTCTCTTGAAATCCAGGCACTATATCCACTTCAAAAGCCACGTATGATGGTGACTTTTGCTGAGCATATTGCTTTTCATCGAGTTGAAGACACAATCTCTCAATACCTTACTCCATAGACTAGATGTAAGCGTCAGAAGCGGATCGAAAGAAAGTTTTCCGGGCGCACAGGTACTCTGGGGTGAGGGGTACGGAGATTCTCTAAGCCTCAAGAACAGCGTTTCATGAAACGGGCTTAAAAATACTGCCCAAGTCAAACGGATTTTAAAAGGCACCTAGTTACTTTAAAATACCCAATACAAACACCAAGATGGGCCATTTTACCAGGTCCCCTGCAGAATGTGAAGGGGCTTCCAGCGTTCCAAGCCGGGTTTCTAATTTAAGCCAAGAACCCCAAGGGAGCGATGGCGACTTCGGGGACCCCGGCAGCGTGCAGGTCCGGGAGGTTCAGCCTACCCACCTGGAGAGGGGTGCGCCGAGCCCCTCTGGAAAGAGTGACTCAAGGGTCCCCGCGAAGTCGCCGCACCAGCCCCTCTCCCAGTTTCAGCAGTCACCGAAGCCCCCGAGCAAAGCCGACTGCACAGGGACCAGACGAGCCGAGGCGCACCCCGGGACGCAGCCCGGTGGACGAGGGTCCGCGGCTTCAGCCCCAGCCCACGGCCCCGGGACTCCGCGCCGAAAAGTCGCTGGAGTGCGGCCTCCGCGCAGCTGCGCGCAGCTGGACCCGTCCCTGGGCGCCCGCGCCCCGCTTCTTCCCCGCGGCCTCTCGGCGGGGCGGGAGACCTGGCAACTTACTGGGGCTGCGCTGGGGGCCGCGCCGAGAAGGCGGCGGTGGGCTGGCGGCTGGGACGCGTCGGGGGCCCGCGGCTAGGGGAGGCTGGAGCAGCGGCCGCCGCCTCGCTGGTCCCGCGAACAGGAGCGCCCGCCGGCCGCGCTGAGCAGAAGGCGGGTTGGGCACGTGGGCGCCACTCTGTGTGGCCGCCCGGGGCGGGGGCGGGGGCGGGGGCGGGGCGTGGGGCCGGGCGGCGCCGCCTCCTCCAGCCTCCCCCGCGCTCCCGGAACGCGACCCGGAGCCCGCCTCCCGCAGGGCCCCGACCGCGCTGGCCAATCCCCGGGGGGGCGGTGTGCGGCTCCGCGGGGTTTGCCTGGAGCGGGGCACACGTGGGCGGGCGCTGGCCCCGGGCTAGGCCGGCGGGCGCGGGCCGGAGAAGCTGGGCTTCGCGCGAGGACAAAATTCGTCCTCTCGTGGGAGGACCAAACCTCGAGGGCATTTCCGAATCTTCAAAGCAGAGTTCTAAGTGGGGTTTTGGTCCCCGCGTTTACGTTCATTCTAGACAGATTTTGGAAATAAGAAAATAATAATAAAATACAATAATAGTAATGATAAATAGAAGCCCAGATGGATGTGCTTTGTCAAATGCAACCTAAACGTTGATAAATAATGTGCAGTTGCTATTTTGGAAGACTCCAGTAGCATGAATAGGTAGTCACGACTGTTTGGGGGTGGGTTTATAGGATATGACGTTATTTCCAGGGGAGCAAGAGCAGAAGTTACACAATCAGGGTTTCTCCTACTGTGCTATTGTTTACTTTAGGAGTCTCTGATAAGATTAAAGTCACAATGTGAAAGCCTGTTAATTTTAATCCAATACGAAGCGAAACACGCACTGAATTGAACAATAAGTATGTGTCTCTGTGTGTGTGTGGTTTGTCTTTAGAGACAGGGTCTCTGTCGCCCAGGCTGGAGGGCAGTGACACGATCGTGGCTCACTGGAGCCTCGACCTCCTGGGCTCAAGCGATCCTCTCGCCTCAGCCTCCCGAAGTGCTGAGAATTACAGGCTTGAGCCACCACGCCCGGCCTATTACTATTTTTGTTTGACAGAAAGGCCCACCTTACTTTGCTTAGTATTGGGGTAAACGTCCCTTTAACCCACCTACTAGTAATAACTTTAGCAAAGTGCCAGGTTCGTATTGCTGCCTCACAGTACATATACAATTTTAATGTGGTATTCTAAATCATTCTTAACTTCAAGACATATTTCCCCAAGATAATCTAATAAATGGTGTGGGACTTCATTCCAGAAGATAGCACACACACACAAAATCCCAATTATTATCTTCAGAGCTCGTGTACCTCAGGAAGCCATCCACGGACTTCATCAAAAACTGGAAGTGTAGGCCGGGCGTGGTGTCTCACGCCTGTAATCCCAGCACTTTGGGACGCCGAGGCGGGCGGATCACCTGAGGGCAGGAGTTCGAGACCAGTCTGGCCAACACGGTGAAACTCCATCTCTCCAAAAAATACAAAAATTACCCGGGCGCGGTGGCGGGCGCCTCTAACCCCAGCTACTTGGGAGGTTGAGGCAGGAGAATCGCTTGAGCCCAGGAGGCAGAGGTTGCAGTGAGTGGAGATAGCACCACTACCGTCCAGCTTGGGCAACAGAGTGAGATTCCATTTCAAAAACAAAAACAAATGAACAAAAAAACTGGAAGTTTAAACAGCACTGTGATTACAAAGATATTATGTGATAGACTAAATATCTTAAGTAATAGAGACTGTCAAAGTAAACTTATTTTTACAGTCAAAAAAATTCCTTATGCTAATTATCATTAATAACATTAAGAGAAATGACGCATGTGGACTTTTAACACCAGATTTCCTCCTCAATCCCACAGCTAGGAGGCGTTGTTCAAGGGAGTGATGACTGAAGATACTTTGTCTAATTTCTTTTTTTTTTAATTTTTTTTACTTTGTCTAATTTCTAAGGGTGAGTAATCTGATCTAAAATTTTCCCACAGGTTTTAAAAAAAATAGAGATTCCTTGGAGCTGCGGTGGCTCAGGCCGGTTGCCCTGGCACTCGGGGAGGCGAGGCTACATGTTTGAGGCCAACCTGGTCAACACTGATTGAAAAGTAATAAAAATAAAAAAATAAAAAAAGAGATTCCTATTATTAGACTTAAGCAATTATTTCCCCCACATATTTTTACTTAAAGGCTCTGTGTTTAAATCTGTTTAATTGGTGATTAAGTTACAACACAATGAGTTGGGATAAACAAATTTATTTGACATTTGGAAACTGCCAATTTTGTCAGAATACCGATCTCTGAGTTTACCTAATCTGCCTGCCGCAGCACTTCCAGAAGCAAGAACATGCTGTGTTCATGTGTGTGAATAAGAAAAACAATTTCATCTCTAGGCAAAAAAAGAGCAAGTTCTTTCAAACAACTTTGTAACAAGATTGCTGAATATCTTGACACACTAGTTCTTGACTTAATATATTCCATTTCCTGTTTGAAATTATTGATTAACCCTGAATCCTGCCTCACAAACTTTGGTTATTTCTCACCTTTAAAAATGTGTTTAGATGTGGAAAGAATAGGATATCCACAGATTTAGTATGAGTCTGTAAGACAGACCATGAGACAAAAGAAAATAGAATAGAATTTTTAGAAATGAAATATTTGAAACAGGTTTAGCTATTTTGACTTCATCTTCGTTGGCATTTTCTCTTGCTGCCCGGGGTTGAATTAGCATCTTTTTCCCAGTTGAGTAAAGTTTTCACCCACCTTCTACTTCACCCTTCCTGGTTTACTGCCATCACTTTTCACTTTCACTGGTCAAGTTTCCTCCTTAGGAATGAAGCAGAAAATCCAACTTAGTCATTTTCAGCAGACAGAGTAACCTAGGTTGTCATCTTCCAAAGATTTCACAAACATTTGTGCATGTCTGAACTCTTAAGGCTTTATGAAATTGCGGGGAATTTTAAGGGACTTCTGTAGCTGAATAAATTCCACACCCTGTACTCCCACATTTGCCAAATACAACCTAAAGTAAATCTTAAGTCCACAAATAAGGGATTTACTTCAACTAGCAAGACTGAAATAATGGATTCCTACCAGTTCTAATTCGTTACTCTATTATCACCAAGCTATTTTAGCGAAGACAAGCCAAAATCCTCCAATTTTTTTCAAATGGTTGGATACTGGATACTAATGCTTGTGCTGTCACTGAATCAACTCAAAAGGGAAAAAGAGTTGGACCAGAGTCAGAGCACTAGCTGTTTGTTTTTTGAGATGGAGTTTCACTCTGTCGCCAGGCTGGTGTGTAATGGCGCGAACTTGGCTCACTGCAACCTCCGCCTCCCAGGTTCAAGCGATTCTCCTGCCTCAGCCTCCGGAGTAGCTGAGATTACAGGCGCTAACCACGACGCCCTGCTAATTTTTTTGTATTTTCATAGAGACGTGGTTTTAACCAGGTTGGCCAGGTTGGTCTCGAACTCCTGACCTCAGATGGTCTCGCCTGCCTTGGCCTCCCAAAGTGTTGGGATTATAGGCCTGAGCCACCGCGCTGACCCAGAGCACTAGTTTTAAGAGATTTCAGGCCACCGCTGTTCTCCACTCCCCTTTCAAAAATGTGTGAAAACCTAGAGGCGGCTTTCCACTGGACACAGTCTGTATCTGCCCATCCCTTAAAGCAAGCAACAAGATATTGAAAAAATGGTTGGAAAAAAATACAGCAAGTCCTGTAAATGACAAGTAATCTTTCAAATTCATCTTTTTCTACTTGTCTTTTAACCAAGACCAAATCATCATGTTGCAACGATTTTCACTCCTACATTGCTCTTCCTATGAATTTCCCTGCATCCTGTCACTTGGTGTCTTTCTGGAGTTTCTTTATGTTGGCCATTAATCAGGAATGGCCCCGAGCTCCACCCGCCCCGTGCTAGTCTCTGACTCTGTCTGCCAGAAATCCTGCTGGGACTCTTATCTGCTGGAAAAAGTCAGTTTTCTTAATCCAAACATCAGTTAGCCTGTTCCTCTAAGGACTGAAAACCAGGGATTTAGGAGGGAGTTCAGATAATGTAAATCCTCTCTTTTCTTTAACCTTCACAAGGGTCCTAATTGCTCCAGAAATCTCTTCCTAATCATATTCAATGGACCTTTCCTGGTTCTCCTGGGCCTCAAACTCACTCCTGCTTTGTTTCTTTCTTTCTCGAAACTGTCTCCTCCTTGGCTTCCACGATCTCTTGCTTTTCCTCTTACTATCCTGACAACTTTTTGTCTTGCTTGCTAACTAAGGCACTCTTAAGATTAAATTATTGAATCATTTTATCTCCATCAATCTTCACAATCTAGGTTGTTATGCTTTTTTTTTTTTTTTTTTTTTTTGAGGCGGAGTCTCATTTTGTCGCCCAGGCTGGAGCGCAGTGGTGCAATCTCGGTTCACTGCAATCTCCGCCTCCTGGGTTCAAGTGATTCTCCTGCCTCAGCCTCCCGAAAAGCTGGTATTACAGGCGCCTGCCACCACGCCTGGCTAATTTTTTTGTATTTTTAGTAGAGACGGGGTTTCACTGCGTTAGCCAGGATGGTCTCAATCTCCTGACCTCGTGATCTGCTCGCCTTGGCCTCCCAAAGTGCTGGGATTACAGGCGTCAGCCAGAGCACCCGGCCGAGAGAGTAACTTTTACCTCCTTTTCTACAAAAGAAAAAAATTAAGAACCACTAATCATGCTGAGGCAGAGACAGACAGAGATCGATCCACTGCACTCCAGCCTGGGCGAAAGAGAGAGACTCAGCCTCTTAAAAAAAAAAAAGGGTAATCCCCTTTTATCTGCGGGAAGTTGCGGGGGATATGTTCCAAGACCCTCAGTGGATGCCTGAAATCATGGATAGTACCAAACCCTACATATACAGTTTTTTTTCTATGCATACGTACTGTGATAAAGTTTAATTTATAAACTAGACAGAGAGATAACAATAAAATAGAATAATCATAACAATATACTGTAATGAAAGTTATGTGAATATGGTGACTCTCTCGAAATACCTGATATTAACAAAAATAACTATGATTTACTGTGGAAAACTGAAAACACAGAAAGCTAAACCATGGCTAAGGGGCTGGTGCTGTTGTACTCGTGTGAAAATATTA